AAGCTATCACTGGAATAATTCATTTGGATTAAATTCTGAAGTGAGGATCGTTTATTTTTTTCTAGAGTAAATAGACTCATTCCTCCCATTACAGTTGATTCTACACTAATAGGAAACCTTTTACGAATATCTGATCTACTAGCTAGGATAGATAAAGGTGGAATTAGGACTGGGTAGTGAAAATCAAATAAGGGATCTAATTCAAATTCATCAATATATATGCTTCCAATATCTTCTAAATAATCTGAAAGTCTATTAGCATATCTGTAGCCTTCGTGAATCATCTTCTGAAATAGCTTCCCATTAGTTTTGATCCAACGTCCGGTTAGAAGGTTAAGTACTTCGTTAGGAGCATCTGATTCTTGAATTTGAATTGTTGAAAATATCATTTATGAAACTGATAATAGTTGATTAGTACTTATGAAAATGATATATTTAATTAGTTATTTCGAAAAGAAATTAAGAGTAATCCGTTTAAGAATCGAGCAGTGAGACGCTATATATAAATCTTAGCTGAAAGACGTTTCGCATAAATCCTCTACTACTAGGCTAACTACCAATTAAATCATATGAGAAAAAATATTAAAATTACCTCTTTGACGAATTAGTTCTGAACAGTTTTTAGCGGTCCCTTTAGACCAGGCTCATTTCCCATATATTTCTGTTTATGATATATGTATGCTCTTTCCTTACCTTGTCCGCATGGGACACAAAGCTGAACGCTTGATTTAGTATCTCGACCACATCCTTTACATGGTTGTGGGATTATTACACCCTTTCGTATTTTGAATGCATGGGACGCACAATATTGTTTTCATGTTGATTTTTTACAGAAACAGGTCTCTCCAACTAATAACCAATTACAAGACATTTCTTTATTACCTATACTCACTTTCATATTTAATTTTTACCTGATTTTTTATCCATATACTGAATCAACTGCTTGATCTATTACCATAGCATACCATTCTCCTGGAGTATGCTTATATTTTTTTGCTATTCCTCGTCAGTGTCAAGCCAGGAAGATGTAACTCCCTCATCCTCAAGACTACGATAGATTATTTCTTCTCCTATCAATCTTTCCCGTACTTTCATATCCATATATTCTTTGGGATCATCTTCTGTTTCTATAGCCCAAGCACACATCCGAGAGTCTGTTTCCATTCTATCACGGAACCCAATGTAATTGAGCCTGTCTTTTTCGGTAATAGTCACGAAAATGTCTGGATTCTCACCTAGTTCGATTGCCTTTTTTCTGAGGCGCTCTTCTCGCTGAGCTCTGGACAGAAGTATAGCAGATGATACTTGATTGATAGGTCCATTTTCTTTAAAAGATATATTCGCCACTTCACTGATAGGCTTGACAGATTTTGGAGGCTTACTAGTTTCAGGATTATTAATTTCTGACTCAGATGGTTCAGATGTCTTGGAAGCCTCGGTTGTGTCAGATGTTGAGGCGACCGAAGCATGTGTATCTTCTGCCACATAGTTGAAAAGGTCCTGGGTCAATTCGTCCTGTTTATCTGTCTTCTTTTCTTTACTAGTAATAGGTGGAAGCGTGCTTTTTTCTGGCTGAGGTGGGATTATTTTTGGAGGAATAATTTCCGGCACATTGAATATAGGTATGTCTGTGGTCTCATTTTTGAATAAGTCATCTTGAGATATATCTTCAGAAAATTCTTCTATATTGCCTAGGCCAGATTCACGAAACTTGGCTATGATCTTGGAGCGGTCGAGAATGTAATGATATTCTCTTTTTCCATTATTCTGCAAACGTGTTCTATCAATACCAATTTGTAAAAACTTCTTTCCGAGAATAGCACTGCTAAATGGTTTCTCCCCATTTCCTCCGCACCATTCAAGATATTCTTGATATAATTCCTTACAGTTCGGTTTATCAATCTTTTCTTCAGTCCATGAGAAAATATAATTGATTATGAATCGAATTGGATTAGGGAGTTGGTTTCGCATTGTTTCTACTCTCATTTTTGTATTAGGGATGTTTTGCGGTATCCAATCTGAGAGGTCTCGCTTTAATAAATAATTTATGAAAATACCAGGCGTTTTTTGATTATCTAAAATTTTTCCAAGTCGTTTAAAATAATCCATATTTCTTTTATAGCGAGGTGATACATCCAAGCATACTATACGTCCATCACCCATCTCAATGCGAAGTGGTGTATCATGATTACTTAAAACCATATAGCCAGCAAAATCTTTAATTGTTTTAGGTTCAAGACCTTTATACTCTATTGTCACATACGGTTCAGTAATAAGTGATTTTAAGTGATCATTTGCCTTATGCCATTCCCCAGAAGCCATCCCAGCTTCATTTAAAAGGATGAGTTTACGTGCCTATATACAACTATTAAATCTTCCTAATACTTTCCCAAGATCAGATGTTGCAAAGAATAATTCTGGCCCCAATACTTCCTTTCCAATAAAATCTGTTAAGATATTTTTTCCAGAGCGTGGAGGAGAACGTAATACTAAAACAGTATCAGGTTTTTTATCGGGATATTGTACAAGATATGCAAACCAATTTAGAACGTATTTTGAAAGATCTTTATTCCCATCGCACCAGACATTTTCGATATGCCAGATAATCGGTTCAATAAGTGCAGAATCAATTTCAGTGATAGGTGCTTTAAACCCCAAGAATAGGTTGAAAAACTTTGTATTTGGTGGTGGATTACATGGTGGAATGGAAGGAAATCAATGCCCCGATATCGAATTATACCTTTCACGACTGCTTGATTTATTAGATTTTCCAATTTTACAACATCTCCTCCCATCTCAACTAAGCTAATTTCGTACTTCTTTAAATCTAGTTTAGATGACATCTTGAAGAAAAGGCCACTATTAGAATCCTCAAGTTTTAGTACCCATAGCTTTGTATCTATCTGTATACATGCTATTGTCGCCTGAACTGCCTCGTATATAGCTTTGCGGGTGAATTTTTCTTTTATATTACACATATCAATTAGGTCACCCTATACAAAGTGGTTATTAGGATCTGAAATTCTGCTTCGGTCTTGTTTTATAGGACTCGGAAGCTTTTGTTCCCGTTGCAAAGCAGTTTCGCTAATAGTAAGCTTTACTGAGAGATTTATAGTTCCAGGTTCTCTTTTGTGGTTTGCATGATGACAATAAAATCTATATGTTTTTTTATTTCGTAAGATATATCCGTTATCACTTTCATGTTCCCGATCACATATTTGACAGTGCGATGGAGAGTTACATACTAATAGAAATAAGTCAGGGATGTTATTTGAAGGAAATGAGAGAGTGTAGCCTTCAATAGAATTATCTCTAAGTAATGTTTCTATAAAATTGAATTCAGTCTGGCTGATATCAGCATCAGTATTTTCATTTCCTTCAGTCAGGCATCTTTTATCTTCTCGCTCTGGAACAGCCAAAAGAGGACTGTTGACAACTTTTGATTCATCATTGGGCGAACGAATCATGAAGTCAAAGATAGTTCCATCATTTGGATAAACTGCTTTTTTCACATGAACATGTTCCTCTGTTTTTTTATTGTATTTAGGCGATCTAAGCATCTGCAAAGAGAAGGACCTTTTATTTGCAATATTATCAATAATACTATTTTTTTGTAGAGCTGTCAGAAGTTTTTTACGAACTAGCTCAGTAAATACTGCAACCTGAGCAATATTTGGAAGTCTCATGCCGTAAGTGGAAATATGGAGAGACATTTTTTTTACACCGCTACTGCTGGCAATGGTTATAGTTTTAGGATTCCACTTCAGGAATAACTCTAAACATGTCTTTCTAAAGCAAGAATAAGTGAATCTCGTACCTCTTTATGTGTTAGCTTAGGCTCAATAGTATCAAGCACTTCTTGTGGTAAATCAAAATCTATAATAGGCCGGAGTGGCTCATCCCCATCAATGAATTCGTGTAAGGAATGGCCTTCACGTTCTGAGAGAATAGCTTCTATCTCATCCGCATTGTCTGCGCCTAGAAAATGTCTCGGCCTCACACTATCATCACGAATTTTGTATCCCTTAAATCGTAGGGTTTTGCAGGCAAATTTGCCTGCTTATTTACTATAAATTCTCTTCTGATTTACTTTTA